CTTCCGAAATAACTCAAACAACGACAAGCGGTGGCACTTATTGGTTGTGTGACGACGAGCGAGAGAGGGAGATAGAAAGTTTATTTAAACATATTTTAAATAATACAATAATAATAATAACAATAGCATTTAGCTAAACAATTAGATCAATAAATCAACTTTTGTAATGACTATAAAATATTAATCGCATAACATAGAGGAAGTTCAATTTGAATTAATTTAATTCAATTAATAAATAAAAGTAATATAAATTAAAATTCAAGCTTATCTTCATCAAAACAAATGTGCCATATTGCAATGTTAGCATTGTTACAGGGCTACAGCGTGTTCGCTGGCCCTCTGTGTGGCACTCTCCTCTCGAGAACGCAGCGACCGAGCATATGCGATGACAAAGAGTACATGCCCGTGTCGTTACAAACCCAGGAGAAGGAAGCGTTGCGGCCGGCGTAGTGACGCCATGGGTGAAAACGAGAAGAGCTAGAGAGAGAGCAATAGGGATAGCGACGAAGATTTTGGAAGGAAAGGGGAGAGAGGGCGGCGCGTGAAGACAAAAAGAAAAAAGTGCGAAGAAAAGACGGCAGAAATTTAGAACTGCTGCCTTATAGATAACTGCGGTCAACAAAAGTTCCTTTACGAGCTGAGCAACCGATTGGAAGGTAGAAACAACCCCAAAGCCCAGTTAGATTATCAACGCCAGCACCTGAGACTACCTCATCTGACTAAGGCTAACGAAGGATGCAGCCATTCCATGCCCAAGGAGCATGGACAGCGTTGCGGCTGGCCTCACGCCGATGCAGGTCATCACGCGGATGCCTCTGCCAGCGGGACTTTGCTTTCACCGACGTCGCCTTTCCACCAACGAGTCAACGGCACTTGGTGCTTCGCTCTCATAAGCAGTTATCTTTTTCTCTTGCACAAACTTTCACTCGTCTACACGGCCACAAAAAGTTACATTTAGAATAACGCGCATACTGAGCGAATTCGCTCACATATTCCGCTGAAATTTGTCGCGGTTCAGGCTGAATGAATGCGCCTGCCCATGTGTCGCTGTAACATAGTATTTAAGCATATTTGTGTTTGAAGGCGTAATAAAAAGGGATCGCCTTATGTAATTTAATTGACATTAGATTTATTTCTGTCACCTTCTCCTTGCCGAAGCATTCTGTACCGAGACAGAAGTCATAAATAATTTCGCAGAGTTCAGCCCAAGGCGCACGGAGGCTAACAACTCTTGCAGCATTATTAGAGAAGAAAATTAGGTATAGACACAATTATTAAGAAAGGGAAGCTTGCGAGCATACATTAAAATTAACTTAAAAACTAGCACTCTACAATGGCCTGTAAGTCGATGAATTTTACGAAATTCTTGTCTTCGTTATAGGTACTCTTGACTGACAAAACTCTCAAAGAAGGATTTAACGAGTCCAGAAATTTGATCACGGGATAACATTTTTGGTAGGAGTAGAAATTGAAGGAAGGTGGGGAGTAGAAGCTGGGAATGCATGAAGGTAATTGATAATAATTTAATAAGAAGGTGATATTGTCATAGAGATCGATTAAAAAGAGGAATATTATATTTGACGTAGTGACCTGGGATTTGAAGATATTCTGTGGCAGAGGAAAAGTACTGACGTTAAAAGGGATAGGGACAGATGGCAAGAGAAAGAAAGCAGTTGGTGAGTTTCTCTGTGTCTATTTGGGTATAGAATTGTTGAAGTTCAAGTACTTTAAAAAGGGAAAAAAAGCCAGTCTTTGAGTTCCTGTATCCTTTTAGCTATGAAATCAGTGACAGAGTGATAGTTGAGAAGATTTTTTATGACATTTATAGCAGCAGAGTGCTTCCAAGATTTAGTTCTTGAAGCAGGATAGTGGAGATCAATGATTTAATGTTGGACTTCTCTTAAATAACATTTTGCAGGTAGAAAGGTGACAATAAAAAATATATTAGGAGGGAGAAAATGTAAATGTCGTCAAACTTTTCTTGCGTTATGGGTGGAAACCGATTCGCAACTTGTGCATAGTCGTTACTTAGAGTGTCAGCGGAGAAAAATAAAAGTAGGGAAGATAGGAGTTTGTTAGCAATCTATCTAGTGTACGTCATTTTGATTTAGATTGTTTTACATGTTGAAGTTTAGAGGATATATTGTTATTTTTAGCAGTGTCAATTTGATTGGAGATTGATTTTTGAATATTTTATAGTGAAAAAATGCAGCAGGGTTCCAGTGTCCATGGCGCGCTTAAATACGTCATCTTTTGAACGCATATGACAGCAAATTTATTCTGAGATCTATGGCTACGAGGGTTACTATTTGTATTTTGAACTTGATAATGAAAAGACAGTAATTTATTATTGAAAATAGCTTTACTGTTTTTCGAAGTATTTTCTATGATGATCAATACACTTTTGCATGCGCTCGAACCAATTTTCGTAACACTTTTTCCACTCCGATGAAGGTACCTCCAAAACATGATTTTTGAATGCATCAACGGCTTCTTCAGATGTCGAAAAACGTTGATCACGCAATTTATTTTTGATGTGCGATAATAAAAAAAGAAGTCATTAGGTGCCAAATCAATGCTATACGGCGGATGCATGTCATGCATGAAGTAAGTTGATCAATGCACTCTTGTCTTGATAAGCCACGTTGAAAGTCGTAAAAAATCATCGCATGAAAATGTTCACGAGTTAATTCCATTTTTTCACTGAGACAAAATTCACAAGTCGTTGTAGACAATACAAGCTATACTTAAATGACAAAATGTTCAGGAGAAGGTTATGGTTGAAAAGGTCAAACTTTTAATTGGAAACATCAGATGGTGCCTGTAAACACTTGGTATGCTAAGGTTTAAAATATAAATAGCAACCCTCGTATCTCTTGGGAAAGATATTTATTAAACGTATAGATGCAAGCTCGTCCAGCGTTTCGAAGGCTGCTGAGGAAAAAATGTGTTCTATGGTGTCAACTCAGGGTGAAGAAATATTAGAGAAGGAAACATAGTTATGATGTTGAGAGAACTTTTGCATGATCAGTTCGTTTAAGGCAGTATTTTCAATTTCATGAAACAACTGCGAAAAAAGAGTTTTTAATGTTTCACAGGGAGCAGAGAAAGCAACAGAAAATTCTATTAAGTCATGAAATGGGCCGAAAGGAGAGAGATTATGGAAAACTTTGTATAGATGTAGTATGGTTTACTATTAAAAGGTTAAGAGTAGTGTGAGTAACGGAGCCATTAACTTACGATAGGATGTATTGGTTCAAGGAAGGCTATTTTCAGGGCATTTATGTCGGATTAGGTCACACAGAGAGTGAGCTTGCAGAAGTTCAGTAATGATATGAGAATTAAAATTGCCACTGATAACTACATCGATGTATAATAAAAGAAAAGGAGCAATGGAGTCAGAGAAAAGTGTTGGAATACTAACTTCAAGACGACGATAAACACAGCAAATAAAAGATTGAAATCATGATATTTTATTTTTACTATCAAAAATTCCGGAATATTATAATACTTCGGATCTGCTTCCGCGATCTAATCGAAAAACTTGTAGTTTTGAAGAACGAGGTGGGGAGAGTCGGAAAGGTTTTTATTAAGCTTAGTTTCCGTGATGACTATAACGTCGTAGGTTTTAATGAGAGTCTGAGCTTCGAAAAGGGCAGAGTGAGATGTGTTGTTCAGTCCATTTATGTTGATATGTACTATTGAAAGTGTGACTTTGTGTGGTTCTGACGTTTAAATAGTATTTATTTGTATTAGTCATAGCAAAAGTCCAGATGAATGCAGAGATAAGTGCGCCGTTGAACTTTGATTGTGACAACTGTTGGAAGAAGAATTAATTTTATTTAAGTTGTTTCCGTGAATTGACGGTTTTAGAGCATGGAGAGCTTACGCCTGCCTAGTTGAATGGAAGAAAAGGTGAGCAGTAATAGGTGGAAGCTTATGAAGGTCAGTTTTGGAGACAATGGGAATAAGTTCAGACAGATTGTTTGCTTACAAAAAACCCCGGTATTTTTTACGAGCGGCCAGTTATACCCGAGGTCAGCGCTCACGTTCCTAGCATTCACAAGTATGTGAAAGACTGGTTTAGGCCATATAGGTCTGACATAGACACATGTGTTTACATCACAGCCGAAGATGCTCTGAACAGTAAAATCTTTACAACGGCCTCAAAACCGTATGATGTGATCTCTGATGAAGGGTGATTCCACTAAAAACAGAAATGAGCTAAAAGCGGAATTTGTGTTTGCAAGTGCATTCAATTGTGCTAGTCATAGTGTTGTTGTTGCTGTAACTTTGGTTGATTTCATCTACAGTATTGTAATATTTATGGCAAATCATCGTGACCACTAAGAAAAAACTTATCAAAACTCTAAGAACGGCTATGGTAACCTGGTAAAGTGTGCCATTATATCCAGGGGCAGGCCATACACAAGAAGCTCCGGTTCGTCGGTAATTGTGAAATGAGCATTACATGCATACGTATCAGTTGCAGCCTATGCCAAAAATCCACAAATTTGATCGTGTCTTTGTGCATTCAGTTGATCTTCTGCATGGAAGTAAGCCGGCGCTTCATTCATAGGGTCATTTTCTTAATGTATTGTAGGTAGAGAATTTGAAATTTGCTGTGGTTTCTATGATGGTGGGTGCTGAGCAGTAGAAAGCTTAACAAGCTTAAGAGATGGCTAAGTCAAGAGTGCACAAGGTTGCCTAACAGTCGACAGCAAAGATGGTAACGTAGGAGAGGCTTCTTAGCTAAATAGAGGAAATTCTGGGTGTGACCAGTGGGCATGCAGGTATTGTAGCACTTATTCATTTATCTTTCTACTTCCTCCTTTTTATACTATAGCTAAAATATAACCGTGAAAAATAAGTGAGCTTTACCCACTAGATTTCATATTGGTACGTTTTAAATATTAGATTTTAACTGGTAGCTATCGCCCAAGACGTAACAATACTAATATACGTATTATTAAGAAAACTTTACTAATATTTCTAATTACCTGATAATTGTAGAGGAGTTGAGAGTACTTTTTTCTTATAAATTTGGAGACATCTTGATGAACTGCTTACTTGAGGTGACGTGTTTGAATATATTACGCTAGGGCTACGATTGTCTTCTGGTTTATATTCAGGTAACGATGAAAATTTTTCTTTGAAATTCACTTGCTGAAGAACTCTGAAAAAGTATTTGTTTTTTTATTGATAAACAAAGCATATATTAATTCGATTATAGTCTTTGTTTAACCCATTATTACCCAAGCAAAATCCAGGCCAAATAGCACCAAATTAACCAATAGGTCACTGTCAAAATGTAGAAAAAATTTAACCGAGTAATTTCTTTTTAAGATTTTAATTGTTTATGTGAAATTATTTAAAAAAATTAAAACGATTTTTGCAAATTCAAAAACTGATCATATGAATCGATTGTACAAGAAAAAACTCATTGAAAACTTTTAAACCATTTTTCTGTTAGATTTTATTGTGTTAATGTAGTATCGTTAGAAAATAAAATATTTAGCTTTATTCGGAAATCAAGAAATTTAGGCATGATTTTTTTAACCGATCGTTTAGGATTAGATTTAAGTAACAGATTACATGTATACGAGGTGTGTTCATAAAGTAAGGTGACTTTGTATTTTTAAGAAAAAATATTTATTTATCAATATTTATGTTGTCCCCTTCAAAGTAATCCCCCTCAGATACAATACACTTATGCCAACGGTTTTTCCAATCCTCAAAACACTTCTCATAAGCACTTTTCGGTATAGCCTTGAGCTCTTCTAGCGATGCAGTGTTTATCTCTTCAATCGTTGCAAATCTCCGTCCTTTCATAGGTCTCTTTAGTTTTGGGAACAAGAAAAAGTCACATGGGGCCAAATCCGGTGAATATGGTGGCTGAGGCATGATTGTGGTGTTGTTTTTGGCCATAAAATCTCTCACAAGTAAAGATAAGTAAGCAGGGGCATTATCGTGATGCAAAAGCCATGAATTGTTTTTCCACAATTCTGGGCGTTTTCTTCGTATTGCTTCTCGCAAACGGCGCATAACTTCAAGATAATACTGTTTGTTGACCGTACGTCCATATGGTAAGAACTCCTGATGCACCACGCCATGGTAATCGAAGAAAACAATGAGTAAAACTTTGACATTTGATCGAACTTGGCGTGCTTTTTTCGGTCTTGGCTCATCTGGGCTCTTCCAATGGGACGATTGGACTTTGGTTTCGATATCATAACCATATACCCATGATTCGTCACCAGTTATGACCCTTTTGAGTAAATCTGGGTCGTCGTTGACGTCATTCAACAGTTCTTGAGCGATGCTCATGCGACGGTTCTTTTAGTCAAAATTTAGCAATTTTGGAACAAACTTCGCTGACACACGTCTCATGCCCAAAACGTTAGATAAAATTTCATGGCACGAGCCAAGCGATATACCAACATCCTCAGCATCTTCTCTGATAGTGATTCGACGATTTTTCAGAACAATTTTCTTCACTGCTTGAACGTTTTCATCAGTTGTTGACGTGCTTGGGCGTCCAGAGCGAGGCTCGTCATTGGCATCTTCCCGGCTATCTTGGAAGAGTTTGTACCACTTGTAAATATTTTTTTTACAAACAAAAAATGCTATACACATGAAAATTGGTACAGATGTTCGGGAAGAGTGTACCAACATAACAAAACAAAAAAATCGATAATCGAAAGTACGTTGCCCGTGAAATTTGAAGTCACCTTACTTTTTGAACACACCTCGTATAAGAAAGATCCAAGATGGTTTTCTACGTATTTTTTCGCGTAGGATCGATTGGTATGATCAGTTTTTGAAACTGCAAAGTTTTTTTATAGTTTATTTAAATAATTTCGCATAAACAATTAGAATAGCAAAAAAATAAAACATGGTTTTTTTCGTGTGAAGAGTGGTCCACCAATAGTTAGTTTGATGCTATATAACGTATATTTAGCTTAGGGTAAAACAAAGTACAACATTGCTAGTTGGGATGTCATTGTTTATAACGACAATGCACTAACAAAATAGAATTTTATAGAAAAATGGTATAGAGGGTTTCGATGTGTTGTTTTTATATAACATCGATTGATATTATTAGTTTTTTTTAATTTGTTAAAATAATTTCGCATAAATGATTGGAATCTCCCAAAAAAAAAACTCGAGTAAATTTTTTACCGTTTTGACAGTTATACAATGGTTAGTTTGGTACTATCTGGCCTGGATTCTGCCAGGGAATTAGTGACCTCAAAGATTGATCAACATTGAATCAAAAAAATTTTAAATATTGAAATTTTTAAGTTAGTAGATCTGATAAGGGTAAAATGTCTTTAATGGAAGGAAATCAAATATATTTTTCTTGATGTTCAGCTTATAAAGTCTCCTCCCTTTTCCTCGTGTTACGTAATTTCGTATTTTTTATGGTATTTCCAAAAATTGAAAAAAGACTAAAACAAATTATTTTCGTACCATTTGAATATTGTCATCGTTTACGGGAATATTGTCATCGGTTACGTCTCTACAAAAAGAAGGACAAAAAAGTTTTGCGTATGCAATTTTTTTTTATTTTTCAACATAATCTCCTTGAAGGTCGATACATTTTATTAATCGGCCTTCCAGTTTTTTTAAGCCATCAGAAAAATATGATTTCTAAAAACCCTCAAAATAGGCATTTGTTTCGGTGATGATTTTTTCATTCGACGTGAATCGTTGTCCGGCAAGCCATTTTTTGAGGTTAGGAAATAAGAAAAAGTCATTGGGAACCAAATCAGGCGAAAATGGTGGATGGTCAATTAATTCGAATTTTAAATCGTTAATTTTTGCCGTCGAAACTGCACACGTGTGAACTCGAGCATTGTCTTGCAGAAAGAGGCATTTTTTCTGATTTTTTCTTTCAGCTAACCTAATAATGACCCATAATATTGTCCAGTGATCGTCCGGCCCTTTTCTAAGTCGTCCATGTAGATGATTCCATACGCATCCCAGAAAACCGTGGCCATAATCTTACCAGCTGACTATACTGGCTTTGCCTTCTTTGGAGCTGGTTCTCCTGCTGTAATCCATTGATTGGATTGTTCTTTGGTTTCAGGAGTGTAGTGGTGTACCCATGTTTCATCTGCAGTGACGAGACGACACTAAAAGTCTTCCGGATTACGACGTATGCGTGCCAAAAAAGCCTTAGAGGTGACCTCGCGGGTTTGTTTGTTTTCAGCAGTGAGCAAACGCGGCACCCACCTTGCTGGTATTTTTTTCATCCCCATTTTTTCATGCAAAATTGAAATGATTGTATCCTTTGATACCCCTGTGACCTCAACCAATTCTAGCAATTTGAATGTTCTAACACTCAACACCATATCGTGGATTTTGTTGATCAATTCGGGCGTACTCACTTCTACGGGGCGTCCTGAACAAGGATCATCTTTTTTTGTTGTACGGCCGCGTTTAAATTCATTTACCCAGTTACAAACAGTTTTAAACACAGGGGCAGAGTTGCCATGAACGGCGTTGAACTCAACTGTGATTCCTTTTTGTTTAAGGCCTTTCAAATGAAAATGATTTATCACCGGTCGAAACTCCGTTTTTTCCATTTTTCAAATAAACCAATAACTTTTTGTTCAACCAACGCTCACAAAAAAACGACTTCATGAATCGAGCTGAAACTTTGTACGATATCTAGTTAGTAGTATTGCTTGCCAAAAACATAATTTAAGCGTGACGAGCGCCATCTCTTGGATTTTGTAAAGACTTATTGACCCCCGCTCGTACCATGAAAATAAATACAGACAATTTCATTTATCATTATTATGACATGTTTGTTTTGATTCTAATCGTATTCTATAGAATAAATTCTATAGGATACGATTGGTGTATACGCACAACAAATAAGTGTAGAAGCAAAGTTCATTCTGCGAATTTTATGCACATCATGGTTATTTGATTTTGTGAAAAATCCGAAATAACTTATCTATTTCTTTGTCTAAAATACTGAACTTGCATATTTATTTTTAGATACAGATAACAAATTTAAGAGTTTTCCGGCGTTAACATTGGATTCATCCATGCAGATCGAAAAAGTGATTAGCCTCGCACTAACGAATACAGACGCTTATAGAATGATAGATCCGTGTATAAACTTTATTAGTTCAAGAATTTCTGTTATATGGTGCCAGAATGTCCGAATAAAGAAAAAAGTGAAAGTTTTCATCAAAAAAAGAGGGAGAGGACAGGTAAAGAACGAGGAAACGAGACCTAAAATTTAGTTTTGAATTTACTTGCTGAGCTGATTAACTAATTTTAAATCATGTTTAGTTAATTTAGTCCGATTTTGATGATTTCAAAACAGCATTTGATATTTTTGGTGTAGTAACTAATGATAATCGTTTGATCCAGATAAAATTATTAATTAAACTTGTCAATTTTTTGCACACTAATTCATTGACCTTTTTGGAATGCACATAGACAAATCTTTATTAGGTTTATGACTTAAAATTTATTTTTGTTTTTCATCGTGCTGACTAACCAGGTTTGGATGAACTTAAGTTAATAAGTATGAAAAGTTTATGAAAATGATTCTTTATCCATTCAGAATTTATTGATTTTACTTAAAAATAAAAAAAATTATCAACCACGATAGCTACATTTTAGCATACGGCTTAACTGATCTTTTTGTGACGCAGGTAATTAAAGAGCCTCTGCTTGTAGCTATTTACACAGCAGGAGTCTCCTCGCTCGAAGAGCGATTTTCAGTTAACCCGTTTACCTGCTTCAAGAAAAGTTAAACACCAAAGTAAAAATAAATAATTTTAAGAAATCTAAAGAAATATCTTCATCAAAACTAGAATGTACTAAAATTTGAATAGAGTACCTATATTAGTTGCTCACATCGTGGAATAAGTGTATTTCTCAAAATAAATCGGCGTCGACTATTAGCCTTAAAATTAATTTATCTTACAGGAGATTAATGCACGAACCATTCATTTTAGTTTGAAATATGTTGAACATTCCATATTGCGATAAAATCTCAAAATATACATCGAAAATTGTATACAGATCGTATTCTTTAGAAAATATCATGCAAAATATATTTAAAAAATGTAAATAAATATTGATGCATTGTTGGAACTCTTCAGATATGCATAAAGATATTAATTTTAACCCTTAACTTGCACACCT